TTTTATTAGAACAAATGGTACACTACAGCAAATTTCAGAGAATCAATAATGCAAAAACACACATAATAAGTATATATAGCTTGTAGCCTAGGTCCTGTAGAATATGTATGCAAAATTTTCGATTATTTCAAAAAAGAAAAATTAAAGTAATTTATAGGGCCTAGTACTAGGCCACAAACCACACGGCCAACCCCGTTATTCCGTTTAAAATTAGTATTTAGGTTTAACAGGGTTGACTACACGGTTGTGTGTTTTAAAAAAAATTTTTCTAAATAAAAAAATCTATTTTACTGTTTTTAGAAATAAACAATAATTTCTATATATCTAAGTTTATTTGTTTTATCTGTTATAGTATGATCAAATAAATTTTGGATTTCCAATTAGACATTTTAAAAAAATATAAGATCATCATTAATGATATTCTAATTTTCCCTTTTTAAATATATATATGTACCAATAATTAATTCAATTAAAACTTTGAATATATTTGTAAAACTAAAGCTAATATACATATATATAAGAACAGTTGAAGTTTTTTATGCAAACAATTTCCTTATTTGTGTTTCTTTGGTCAAGATTGACAAGGTTTTTCATAATGAAATGAACACAGACCTTCCATCCAAACTTAACTTAACGTTAAATTAAGAGATAATAAATGTTGCACTGAAAAATCAAATTTTTTTCGACAACAAAACTCCAAAAATCAACACATCATTAGAGTAAAAATTTTATCTTACAATTTTTTGTAAAAGAGGTTACTTGCTGATTAGAGATTTTTTTCGTCAATTTTCCCCCATCGGTCACTATATAGTACTTGCTGATTCATACTCTGATAAAAGAAAACATCTTTTTTTTTTTTTTTGGAAGCTTTTGACAATAAAAAAGTTCAAATTTCTGAAAAAATGAGGAGGTTGATGTTAAAAACAGAACTCCAAGTTTGAACGGCCTAAATCATTACTGTAAACAAATTCAATTAATATCTTGTAAGGAAAAAACAGCTCTAGAATCACCAAAAAAATCATTGAAATTATTATTTTTGACGAGATTATTGATTGTACTAAATAGACAAACAAACAAATTGTTTATTTTTAGGGTGAATAACTAAAAATGTATCAAATAAAATCATTGAAACTATTATTTTAAGACCCAAGATTTATTAAAACAGACAAATCAATTAACATAGTAAGTACACTGTAAACTACACGCGCAATGTTTAAATTCTTTTCTTTAAATAATCAAGTTTCCTTTATTTTTAATTAAATATAGAAAAAAATTTTGTATGCATATTCTACAGAATTTTTTTGTATACTTATTATGTTATATTTTGCGTAAATTGATACACAGGTAAAGCTCTGAACGGTTAGGTTTTTTGGTTTTTCAGTTTACATTTGACCCAAAATTTCTGACATTCTAAATTCGTTAACTACACACACAAAAATATGCATAATAACTTTGCAAAAATTATAATTGCAAATAGAGATGCCAGAAGGATCCTGTTTCTAAATACATACATAGTCTATAATATCATGGTAGCGAAGATCCATTTCCTACCAAAATTAGAATGGTGAATTTTATCCATGTTTAGATTTAGCTGGTCAGTTATAGGTAGTGATGTTAGCCGACTAATAATCTGCATATACAATTTCTAAATTTGGTAATAGATTTCCGCGTTACCTTCTGGTTATAGAAATAAAATTACCAATTTAGGTAATAAACGGCTTAGCCGGCTAAGGATTTTTAAACGGCTGACATCATTAGTTATAGGTCTGATCGTTACATATTTATAGATGTACTACAAAAATTTGTACTCTCAAACATTAATCTTAACATTAATTCGAACCATTCATTTTATTCGAACAAAATTTCAATGTAATTCGAATACTCAAGTCCATAATGAATGAAATAAATAATTCGAATAATACTTATTTGAATAGAAACCTAAGGACGTTTTTCAATTCATATATGAAATTCATCGCCTCCACAAACCTTTTTAAGCACATTCAAACTTTTATTGTCTCAGGTTCTAAACTACAATGTCTTTGAGTAATTAAGTCTGTGTATGCAGAAAAAAAATTGTTCAACCAGGACATTGGTTGTTATTAGATTATAAATTAATAAATTTAATTCTAAATAAGCAGAGTGCATACCAGGACTGCCAAGTAGTTTCTAGCCTAAAGCCATCAGTTTTTCTCAGATAAGCAATCAAGCTCCAAAGTTATTGTGACCCGTACTATATAAGAGTTCACTTAGTTGCACCACAGCATATTCAGGGGTTCTATAATAATGCAAGACCAAATAAAATAAACTGCACACACTCTTGAACTTCTATTTATCTTCATAGATTAGCCATTACTCCAACAAAAATAAAGGAATAAATATCACTTTACGTTCCTCAAGTTCAGCCTTACCATTGATTCACATATATTAAGAACTGAACACCTTCTTCATTGATTAGCTAAAAAAAAAATTTGACAGATATTCTAATCCTAACTCACAAATCGATCAATATATGCATTTCGGTAGAGTTTCTGCAGGTTACACACTAATTGTTCCGCATTTGGGAGTTTTGACAATTGGCAAAGTTTTGGCAGCTATTAAGAGGTTTCGACAAGCAACCTTAATAATGGCAGATAAATAATGTAAATGTGATTTCTTCTTTAGGCTCTATATTGTTTTATAACATTGTATATTCATAGTAGAATGGCACATACTGATATGATAAGAACCTATAATTTATATATATTAGTATTGTTATATGGAGACTGAAACTTTACTCACACATAGTATCAAGTTAAAACTTAGTTCCTAAGAGATTCTCAAGAAGGTCAGAAATCGGAATAATTGGAATGCAGCCTATAAAAATTTTCCATGTAACTTAGATTTTCGATTGTCTTGTTTTTTGTTAATTATTCAAAACCTACATTATGTCACCAGGAATTTCTTTTAGACATATTACGCAATTATTACATCAGGTGCAAAATCACATAGTAGACTTATATTGTGGCAGGAATAATTTTCCTGATGATACTAATACATTATGAAATTTTCACATATGTTTTGTGATCAGCAAGCATATGGTTTGGTAATGTGAATTTAAACGTAGGCCAATACAAAAGTGTAATACATATAAAAAAAATTGGGGATTTTCCTATTACAATTGTTTTAGAACTACTCAAAGTGTTTTTTGAAGCATGCTCCAAAATGCATTACAAATGAATGATCAACTGACTAAATTTTGTTTATTACTCAAGCTATTGAAAAGCTTAAAATATGAGGCACTTATTAAAAATAATCATTGTAAATATGTGATATATATATATATATAAAAATAAAATAATATATACTATTAATGTACTATTTATATTTATAAAAACAATTTAAATGAATCCAAAGCCATCAAACTTCATAATTAAAGGCTATTGGCACATGACAAGAGATGAGGATTATTTCTGTTTTCTAGCATGAATTATAATACATTTAGATTTCCCTCTGATCTCTCCAGATCTTAATTCGTCACGACAATCATCAATGAATTTCACAGATTCACTTTCTGACATTCCCATAGTATTTTTCAGGCATTCTTTTTTCTCTAGCATGTGATCAAGGAAACTTTCGGCCATATACTCGCCAGTTATACCACCCCACTTACCATATTTCAATTCGACACAACTTACTTCCATAAGATCAAATGACTTTGTGGATTTTAAGATTTCAACAAGCCTTTGGGAAATATTAATTTCAATATTTCTAGATTTCATAAGCGATATAACTAAAAAAATTTATTAAGTAAATAAAATAAATTTAATTTATTATAAACAATTAATCAATTAAAATTGTATATTAATGACTCACTTTCGTCAAAATATTTTTTCATGTTTGGACCAAAATCAGAAACTTCCATCTCAGGTTCACAAATCTCAATCCAACCACCATTTTTCAACACACGTATAGCTTCACTTAGTATATTTCCACTCCAATCTTCATTTTCAATATACCTTATTGTCTCTCTTAAATATATATAATCAAATTTTTCATCTTTGTAAGGCAGTTTATCACTCAAATCTTTAATTTGTTCAAGTTTAACATTATATGGTAGAACTTGAGTTGGAAAATAATTAGTTGTGTCGATTCCATAAAATTTCGATTTCATAAAATCTGTAGCCATTTCTAAAGTCCAAATACCAGTACCGCAACTATACAAAGAAATTAAGCGATTATGGTTAACTAAAATTTGCAAATTCGTAAAACTTGTAAATATAATAATAAATCTCATACCGAGCGTTTAGAACTTTGGCACCACCAGATTTCAATAAATTCTCGACGGGTGCACCAAAATTTTTACCTAATTCTGCCCTCAACGAATAATGATTACAATCCATTCTCTCCGGTATTTCAACATCTTTGATTTTATTATCACTTTTGGTGGTTGCGATTGCATTATTAACTATGCGTTTATTTTGACTCATTTTTCAAAAATTTTTTATTTTTAATATTTGTTTTTAAAAAAATGTAAATTTTTATTTTCTTTTTATGTTATTTATTTAACATTATATTAATATGAGAATGTCGGTGTAACATTAATAAAAATTATACTATTTCTCTTTCGTCATTACCATTATAAGAAGCAGAAAGTTCTTTAATATTTTACCTTCATTCTTTCTATAATTCGACGCACATGATCGGTATAAATTAATCTTCCTGATTTTTTTATCGTTCTCATTCAATTCTTCATGCTGTGTCGTCCATCATCATAATAAAATATGGAATGATGGATGATCCATTAATTATGTATGGGAGATGAATAATAACAATAAGTAAACTAATAATGGCTTCTTTTGGTAACAATTATAATATTAATATTAATAATGTCGCAAGAAATTTAATTATGAAAAAGAGATTCAAGAATTAATTCTTCTTCTTAGCTAAAAATTAGCGAGCGAATTTAATTAACGTATGATAAATTAACGTTTAATAATCAATTAAAATAATCGGAAAGCCGTTATTTTGGAACCAATTATTATTTTCGAAAAACACATCGAATCCTCGAAATTTTTATTTCACGAGCAAGCACTTAGAATATTATATGGCTTCTTTTTATTATTAAGTCAAAAACAATATATTGTTTAGCAAGTAAATAACAATATTGATACAGTGATTCATCAGTGGAATTGGTGTGGTACAAACAAATTATCTGCAATCATTTATATGAACATTAGCCAATCTAATATATATATATATATATATATATAAATAAATAAATTTACCATAAAAAAAACAAAATATACAATCGCAAGTCAAAAACAACTTCAAACCCCCAATATATAATACATTCTTCTTACCTAAACAGGAAAAAACTCGCCGATCAACTTTCGTGTTAATATGATTTAATTTGCAATAGAGTTCTTCCCGATCCCTTTATGAAATAAATAATTGAATTTATTATATTTTTTCAGGCCTTCTCTAAACATCAACAAATAACACCTCACATAACCTAAATTATTTATACAGTATAATTGAAAAGAAAATCTTGCTTTAAAGTAAAAATGAAATGATATTTTGAATATCCATAACTTTACACAGAGAATTCCTTTGGATATAAAAAACATTCATTAGAAAGCTTTAATGACGCAGCTTTACTTTGCTTTAATAACGTAGTTGGTCTTTACTATGAAAATAATATTTTTAATTCGCAGATCGTTTATCAACCAAAACACAATTTTCTGACACTAAAATTTTTATAATTGATTACCTTGTATGCTAAGAGAGTTTCAAAGAAGTTGTAGAAAACTCTGTAATATTAGCACAGAAAATTGACGAAATACGTAATTTCACACATAAAGGTGTCAATGAAAACCCTTCTCAATGGTGACTACACGCATAACTTTCTTTTTATTGAGTATAATGATAAAATATTTTAAATTCTCAGGTTGATACACGATTCGAAATTTTAATTTTTAGTCGTATTTCCACCCAATTCGAATAAAAACGGTGCACCCCTCCTGGATGGTGCAAATAAATCCGAATTTTGGAAATTGAATGTTGTAAGGAAATATTTATTTAAGCTCATTTACAGTTTTGATCGAGTCCAAAATGTTCATGTACCACATTCAGATCAACAGGTCTATTATCTTAGTCCGTTGTAAAGTCCACTTATTTGATATTCAAGATGAAGCAGCAAGAGAACAAATCAATTATGTTCTTGATGAAGATGAACTTATAGGAAAAGTCCCTCATGTTGCACTTGATATGATTTTTGATGGAATTAAAGATTACTTGTGATAAAGGTGAAAAGCATTTAAGGATTATTTTTTCAAAGTAATATATATATATATATATATATACAGTACAATCAAAATATTAGAGTGTAAGTATAAACATATTCCTTTATTAGATATTTTATTTTTGCTTTTACAATATCATCTGCATTTGATATTAATTCAATTAATTAGCTTTAGAAAAGATTCTGTGGTCAAACAATCTGGAAAAAGTTGTTAAAAGAATTGTTGCTATGCGGCAATTAAAATCATTATCATGATATTATCTGGTATTGATCAAATGGTCTGAAAGGAGTTGTTATGCAACTATCAATCTAATTTTGTTTGATGAAATGTTGCAAAACGTCAAATTTGCTGCCATTAAGTTAAAAATGACGTAAGTAAAATTGCTTCAAATAAAAAGCTTAGAATAAATATATTCCAAGGTCTCCCTCCTCTTCAATTTTATATTTTTATTGTATGTATCCCAATCAGGGCTAGAAATAGTACTTTAAAAATCCGGTTTTTCCCTTAAAAAATTTAACTTCCGGAAAAAAAAAGAGTTGCCAGGGCTTATTGAAGACAATATTTCCAAATTTGGTAATTTTCACCAACATTATAAGTAAAATTTTTAGGTCTTTTACTATATATAAGATTTGACTCGGCTGCGGTAGTAACCTATCTAGCCCTGGGTCAACTAATTTTATACATAATTGTGAAAATATTGATCAAGTTATTTTGCAATAAATCTTTTATTTAGTGATCAAATTAAAATGAATAGGATCCAAACAAAGAAAAATAAAACTCTGTAATAGAATCATTATTTTTATTAAATAAAATTAGCTTTTAAAAATAAAACCATTGTCTTTATTTTCTTTGTTTAAAGCACTTTGATAGAAGCAACAAATGTAGTGCCTTGATAAAGGATAACAATTGTGGAGCTTTGGTAAAAAGCTAGATTTATTTGCAAGCAAAATTAGTACTAACATTGGTTAACTAGTGAGTGTTAATGAAGTGTCATCCAATTGTTAATTGAAAATCTGGTAGTATTATTGTAATCATAAACATAAGGCTGTTAAATAAGATACTTAAGTTGTTTCGCAAAAGTGAGTTTGTGCAATTGGCCAATAAATATAAACAAGAACCAAAGTAAATTAATAGACTAATTAATTGGCAAGCATTGAATTATTGTAAGTTGCTTGCAATTAACAAACAAGAGTAACTCAAAGTCAATCTGTAACCAGCCATACTTGTTAAATAATCATATTAACTGAAATGATACATCATTTAATTAAAATAATTTAGCTTTAAAAATAAAATAAAGATAAAGTAAAAAGATAAATAATTATAATGAATAAATTTATAGTGGAGATTAAATTAGCCATTCATCAATTCCTTCATTTACTATTACTATCAGAATCTAATGTTTATTATTAATCAATCAAATTGTTAGTAATAATTAAGGGATAGTAATTTCCAATCAATTAATTAATAATTAAATGTTTAGTCACCTTTCAACATTTAAGAGGTGAAAGTTAAATCAAGATTATTTAACGAACTATTACTTGTGTAACCTTTTAAGCTTTTAGATTTAGCAATCTCTTCATCCAAGATTCTACTTTTATGATATGCATCTGGATGTGATTTGTGTACTAGTTGCAAATCACTACTAATACTACTATTATTATTATTATCATTTTTAAGAATTTCTTCATATTTATTTATAGCAAAATCATAAAGCTCATCAATAGTTGGTCTTTTTGATGGATCCACATCCCAACACTCCTGCATCATCTGTGCATAATCGTCAGGCATTCCTGGTAATATTGGTGGTCGTGAACCTTCACATATATCAAAAATTAAACAATAATTGTGAGCTCTATCATCAAATGATGGATGACCTGCAAATATTTCCCACATTAACATTCCAACACTATAGATATCACTTTCTTTGGTGTTCTTGGTGTTATTTCCTCCAAGTAGCTCAGGTGCAATATATGATACTGTGAGATTGTAAATCGTGGACCAACCAATTGACCGTTAATATTGACCAATTAGAACGAACTTACTACGGGAGTCAT